TTCAGATGAAACAAGTTATGTGTGTATGTATGTGTTGTAAATAAATGCAGGCAGATACATACATAGATGTAAACACATACAGACACACCTGTATTGATGTAGGAGGGTATGATACCCTACTGCTTTTTCTCTATCCTAATGGGGTCAGTATTATCCTAATGCTTTCTTTATACTTTTCTAATAGATGAATATAAATATTTGTTTTTCTTCAGATCAACAATTATAGATCTTATCAAGGGGAGGACTTCCGGTTTGCAGCGCTTCGGGGCAGGCAGGAATCCGCGATCGTGCTGGAGTACCCTGAGCCACCCGGCTTCAGGGCTAGCCACCTCCGTAGAAGGTGGTGAAGATAGGGGGGATCTGGCAGGGTTGAGAGAAATCGCGCCTCTCTTCCCTAGCCGGCTAAACTCCCTTTTCCGAAGGCGGTAGAGCGGCGGCCAGAAATGGCCGCCACAAAGAAGCGCTCAGCCGGAAAAGAAAGTGCAGGAGGAGTTGAGAAGTGAAAGTTTTTTTGTTGACCGGGACAAAGCAACAACGAAGGTACCCTGGAACTTAAAATTTGCAAAAGATACATCGTTCCCAGAGATTTACAAGCGGCGAATGAAAGTTAAAAGGGAAAGTTCTTTTTTTTTCACTCTCCTTCCTAACGTTGACAACGAACAGAAATGAATGAGAAATCGGAAAAACCCGCTTTGGCATCAATAGGTAAACTGGATAACTAAATGCTAAAGAGATAATAAGGTTTCTGAACATTAAAAAATTTTTTTTTGCTGTAAGTGGGAAGGGATAGGGAAAGAATTGGAGCAGGATTTGGAAGCAAGGAGGAGATTGCCTCGAATTTTAAAGAATCATTAAATACTAACAAGACTTCTAAAAGATACATTTTAACTGGAATTTTGCAACTAAACAGTAACCCCAGAAAGAGAAAGTGAAGAAAGAAGAAAGTGCTAAAAGAAACAGCTTATTTGGACTGTTTGGTAACTTTGGGACTTTTGGAAATTATTTTTGAAGGACTAAAAACACTTGGGTGGTTGTTTTGAAAAAAAATTCTTTCTACAATGGCATCACTTGTGGATGAATTGAAAATTGAATTAAAAAAATACAAAGAAGAGGAACAAGAAGGGAAGGATTCTCTTGGCTCTCTTTTTCAATTCCTAGAAATGGCAATTTGCACCTATGAGAAACTGACTGTGCAACAAGATGATTGGGACAAAGAAGAAGCCATCTTTGATGAACAAGTAACTTTATTTGGGGAAGAAAGGGAGAAGGAGGAAAAGAAAAAGGAGACTTTAAGATTTAAAAAAACAACCAAAAAAGAGAAAAATAAGGTGAAAAGTGGATATAATGTTAGAAAACAAGAGAAAGGGGGAATACAGAAGAGGAAAAGGGAGGTGGAGAGACAAGGGGGTAAAAAGGGCATGGAGAAGAAGAAGCAAGGGAGGAAGGAAGGGATGAGAAGCTTCAATGGTGTGGAGCAAGATGTAAAGAAACAAGATTCATTTAGAGATAATGGGTAAAAATTTAAAAAGGGATTCGGCAAAGGTACATAAGATTTTATTGTTATATTTGTACTTAGAAGTAATGCTAGAAAATTGGAAACGTGATCAAAAAATGGGATAAAATATTCAGTGTAACTTAGTGAAACTTTTGTGAATAAAAGGAAGGCAATGAAATAAATGAGAGAATTGAAGTAGGAAGAAATGGGAACATTTTAATGATACAATGATTTAAAATATAAGTGATGTGAAGTGGGGGAAAAATAATTATGGAAAGTTTATAAGTGTTCCCATAAAAGTATGATATTCAATTGAAAAGTAATGTGTAAAATGTTTAAGATTTAAAT